TCATGATGATCATGTGTTCTTTCCATTCCCAAGTGCTTATCCATTTATGTATTTCTTTAATTAGAGTTCTATGTTAAATCTTGACAATGTTTTAGTTTATCATAGTCCTACCTAAGTATCATTGTCAGTGAGATGATACAAAGAAGAGGATATTTTATACATCTTTATTTTGTACCTTCAAGTGCACATCTACATTGAAGTACATTTAGATAACTTTCATGTTATTGAAATACTTTCATAACTGATAGTAAGGATCTCCTCATAAAGTTTGTGTTCCCTAAAGGCAAAATATGCTAAATAGATTTTGAATGACAGTCATTGTATTGTTGTATTCAGTGAGAAGGATCTTCTAATAGCTAACATGTAGGAATGATCAAATATCCCTAGCTTGTGTGTAAAACAAAATAAATGTGAAGCATATCTATGATACTGTTAAATGAAATCAACATGAATCTTAATTGTATTTCAGCATGAATTGTTGAATATGCCTGTGAAGAAAGAAACCCTAAATAAGCCCACAAAAATACACCTGCTTACAGATAGATAGTATCCTTAACTTCTTAAAACTATTGATAAAATATAAGGAAAGATATTATACTTTCCTTTTCTAGCCACCCTACCCACTTTGACATTTGTACCCAAACCTTTTCATGCCTTGACCTTTCTTTTTGCTTTCCTTTCCTTCATTTAGACTTTCATTGGTCAATTCTTGACAATGGTGATCACATTCCTATTGTCCTCTCTCTTACTTCCTATGTCCCACTCCCCTGGCTGGTGCTTTGATAATGCAGACTGGGATACTTTTAGCTCTTTTTTTATTCTTCCTCTTCCTCCATTATCATTCTCTTCCACCTGAGACATGCTTTCATATTTCAGTCACTGTCCTGAGTTCTGCCTTTACAGCCACTCCCCAAACCTCCTGACCATATACATATAAATGTGATCCATGGGGAACACTGAATGCACCAAAATGCTTTGATTGAAGCGTGCAGCATGGAACAGCTATCTCAACAACTGAAATCCTCATCACCCCTAATCAATTTTAAAAGAGCATCCACCCCTCTATACTGCACAATCCGAAGCTCTATTAAAACCAGCTGGCAAAATTATTTTTCCTCAATTACCTCCTCAATACCAGTTTCTACAGTCTGACATAGAATCCATAAACTATCAGGGGAACATCCCCCTCATTTTGCTCGTCTTCCATACCTGTAATACTCTCGGGTTGTGTAGGTTCTCAACCTCCACTTTCTTTATATGATACTCCACTCCACTTTCGCTCCCCAGCCAAAATCCTTGGTGTTATTTCTTACTCCAAACTTTCCTGGCGAGACAACATCCTCTATATCAAAGAAAAAACCTGCTGCCACCCCCAACTCCTACAGACTCTTCTGAGGTTCAGACCACAAAACTCTCCATCTGCATACTTTCCTGATCCTCTCCACTCTTGACTATGTCTGCCATATCTACTCTTCCTCCTCGACCTCACTTTTTACTCTCTTTGATGCTATCCATCACTGTGGCCAATGTTTAACCATAGGCGCCTTCCTCTCCTCTCCATTTGAGAGCCTATGATAAATTAGGCCTACCATCCCTCTCACAACGGCGTGCCCTTCTTTCTCTCTGGAGCTATGCACGTTTTCATAAAATTTCTCTCTCTCAACTCACTGTCCCTCAACCTCTTCTTCCTACCTTTATCTCCTCTCCACACATTCCTACTTCTTTCTCTATCGGCATGGATGCATTTCTCCGCCACTTACCCTTCCCTCACCTCCGAGCCCTGCCTTTTTCTACCCATAAATACTCGCCTGATTTGTATCTTCCTCCAGTATCTGCTCCTCTGTTTTCCCTGATACACCATAATCAGGATCAAGTGTTGCATCCATTCATATGACACAAAACAGTCAGTTTTTCCCAGCCACACTGGTATTGCCAGCAATGAACAGGCAGATACATTAACACTTTGTCCATATCCTATTAACCCATATTTTCATATATACCAGCCTCTGACTACTTCCCTCACTTAAAAACCTTCCTCTTCGCCCACTAGCAGTCTTTCTGGTCTAGCCTCACCACCAATAAACAGCATACCATAAAACTTTCCATCTCTCCTTGGTCAATCCTATTCCACCTGAAGAGACGCTGGGAAACTGCCATTACCCGATTACCCGAATGGACACACTCGCCTCACACATTCCTATCCCATGTCACCCACCACCATTCTTCTTGCTTTTCCTCAGATAACATCCTCTCGTAATCCCACACCTTTTCCTTTGACAACTTATTCTTCTTCCTCATAAATATTTTCTGTTTGATCTAATCACCCTTCTCCCTTAACTCCTTCCCCTTTTAACAACCTTTGCCTTATACTATACCCCATCAGTTCCCTCTCTCTATCTCTTTTCATTACTATACTACCCTCTAGTACTGCTCGACCTCTAACTTCTTACACACTTTACTCTTACCATTAACTATAAAATATAATCAGAGTGTTAGGGCTGGATAACTTTATAAAGTGTAGAATAGTATTCTTCACTTTCCCTCTTTCAATGATTTGTTCACCCAATGAATTTGTTATTTTTGTTCATCATTTTCCTTCTCCAAAAGGACCGTCATTACTGTTATGTCACTTATACTCAGATTATTGAACATTTCTTGTCAACAAATCTCCGGGTTCAAGGACGAGACTGCAATGTGACTGTATTGCTGAAGACCAGGAGGTGCAATATGGCTTACCGTGTAAGTCCTTATATCGTGTAAATCACAGGCAGAGATATATTAACAAGGAGCTACAAGAATGAGAGACAAAAAGTGTTATAGTCAGTAATGCAATACTTTGTCAGATAAACTCAAAATTAAATTTAAGAAAGAAAAAAATCTTAATTACTGGATGACCCGACAAACTTTTTAATCAAAAATTTACCTGGAGAGATTACCTGACTTGGCTATACAAGATAATGCAAGGAAAATCCAAAGACGTGAGAATTCTTCAGCAATAACACTGCTTATGTTACCTTTATCACAATTTATATTGGCGATGCCCTAAATTCCGATAAACTAAATGTACCAACTAAAAAGGAAAAAGGACAGGAAGCGAAAACACGAGCACTGCAAATAGAAACAAACTGTTTATATATACATACATACATATATATACATATATATATGTATATATATATATATATATATATATATATATATATATATATATAATATATATGTATATATATATATATATATATATATATATATATATATATATATATATATATATATATATATATATATATATTTATATATATATATACATACATATATATATATATATATATATATATATATATATATATATATATATATATATATATATATATATATATATATATATATATATATATATATATATATACATATATATATATATACATATATATATATATATATATATATATATATATATATATATATATATATATATATATATATATTTATATATATATATACATATATATAACACGAGCATTGCAAATAGAAACAAACTGTTTATATATACATACATACTTACATACATTGGGATGGTGTCGACAATGCTTTAGATAGCATTGTTTGGAGAGATGTTTATAATGCTCCTTATGCTGTCAGTGCTCCGAATCTATTATTGTTGGACATCATATCGAAATGTGTACCCAACAAAACTCTTAAATCTCGTTTACATGATCAAGTATGGTTTAATGAACGACGTCACTAGGCCTATAGGGACAAGCGTACTGCTTACAGTCCTTGATCTACTGACCGTGCTCGTCCATTTTGGGTGAATTATGTTGCAATGCGAAATATGGCAACTAATGTTTATAATGAGCTTAATTCCGAATATAATGCTCATTTAAAAGTTCTCTCAGAAGCGTCGCAACCTCATAAATGTGGCCAGCGATTAAAGCATCTCCGTTGACGAGTCCTTCCTTAATGAAACCTTATGGTTGTGTTACATTAAGTCCAATTGAGAAAGCTACCTTGCTTGCAGAATTCTTTAATTCAAAACAAGGTTTATAATATAACTCCCTCTTTCATGTCATCTATTGCCACGTTTTAGTTAATTTTCTTTCAAATTCTCTGATATCAGAGAATCTGAAAGGAAATTCGACAATTATGGCGATGAAGACTATAACGATTTTTTCCTCTGACCTGAAAAAAGACCAAATGGCCAATGGAATATTACGCATTTTAGTTCGTCAAAGGTTATTTTCAGAGTGCTCGCACTTAGGTAAAGTTACCCCTATTCCCAAGGGCCCATTACTGTCTTCACCTACTGACTATAGTCCCATTTTTATTACACACATTTTCTCTTAGGTGTTTTGAACTTTTGCAAGTCAGACATCTTCCTCTTTATTTGAGACCGTCTCTTCCAGAGACTCAGTTTGGTTTTAGAAAGATAATGCATTGACGCATTGCTCATTCTGGTACATGAAAATTCAGTCTGGTGTAGATGGAGATAATGAGTCAAGGCTTGTCTCTGGATTTCAGTGCAACATTTGACTCTATTAATCACACTGATTTGATTTTCAAGTTGCAGTCTGTTAGTGTTGATGATAAAATTTAAGTGTTCTATCTTATCTTTTTTAACTGGTGAACAGCAGCGTGTTCATGTTGATGATTGTCTTGGCCCTTTGCTTTTCATTTTGTATACAAGCGATATGTGGGTCGGCATTACTAATAGAATGTAGGCTATGTTGATGAAACTTCTCTCTATGCCGATATTCCTTCTCCGGCAACCAGGCAACCAGCTGACAGCCTTTCTGTAGTCCAAGGAAATGATTGTGAGTCGATCTAGGACGCTATTGCCTCAGCATCCAAGTCTACTGATTAATGGAGTCTTAATCTCTTCTGTGGATAATCTGAAGCTCCTGACTCAAAGCTTACATTTGAATTACAACCTAGAAATATGGCCCGGCCTGTTTCATCTAAGTTAAGCATTATTCGTAAATGCAAGAGAATTTATGACA